TCAACTTCCAATTGCATCTGCAGGAAAAAAAAATTAACTGAAATTTATACTTTTTTCTTCTTTTTCTTGCAACGTTATTTATACGATAAATCCTTTTATTATTCCCGCAAATTATCCCTTTTCAACCGGCGTGTAGTTTATATCACCTTTCCTTCATTGGTTCATAGAATGGGTTTCATTTTACCACTCCTACATTATTTCTTGTGCCCACTGCTCCCCACTCCCATCCTGCTTTCCCTATATTGCAATATTTATTGCATATTGGAGATATATGAAGGAGAGATAACGCACCGCACCCGCCTTGAGTGGCGACCAAAGCTGGCAGCAATACTCAAGATTGGGGAGCACGAGGGCTCTGAAGAGTGTAATCATTGGTGCTGCCTCTCTCGTTCGGAATGTCCGCCATACGCATTTGCAATCCGTATAGTTTAGTGAACATATGAATCATTTTTAACGGCGGTGTAACATTTTGTTGACAGTGTACAGAGGAAGGTCGAGCTCTACTGTGGTCACTGGCTGTGATGCTGTGTAGTTTTCTGCCAGCCTCAAATCTGTTCTTCCCTGTAGGCTTCGTGCTAGCGGAGCGCCTTCTTTATATTCCGAGGTGAGCTTTGGCTGGTGCCATGTAAAGAGATATTATGATTGTTTGTAGTTTTCATTGCAATACAAAAGTTGCATGTAAACTTTCTTAACAGTAACTGGCAGCCTAACGTCTGTTGACGTTTTGTTGATATTGAACGAGAAGTCATTTCATATTATACAACAATCGCGCAACACATGACTTGTGCATTGATAAAATAAAATTGATGAGATCAGTTATGTAACTGTGCACTCGAATTTTGCGGATTTTCGTCCATTACTCATGAATAAGATGGAGCAAGAGTAGAAGCATTCCGGGTAACTGTTAGTTAACACACGAAACAATAAGGCATTGCAACTTATTAAATGGGTGAGCAATAGTAATGTCAATTCATTCCTACCGAAATAATTAGAACATCCATTGTTTATTTTTACGATCAGCAACATGGTAAATAAACTGGTAAATTTTCGGACACTCTTTAATGTAAAAGATTAATATTAATCGTATAAAACTCATTACTCGTCCATCAACAACCAAATATCTTTATTTGCCGGAATGATGAATGGTTCCATTTTGAACGTAGGCGCACGGTCCCTTCTTAATTCCCACCGAGAGGAGTATAGCGGCTATTTTTTTAGACTCTGTCATAGCCGCCGTAGACAGAGAAATGAACTCATGACGTGCCGTGCCGTGGTCGTCAGATTATGTAACGTTTCTGACTTGGGGCAGGAAATTAGAACTCAAACCGAACATATATAGAGCGGCGAATTTACATTTGGTCGTCATAAGGGAACTTGTAGCAAGTATCTAAGTTTTGTTAAGTTGATCTACCGTCCTCAAATCGATATTACTGTGAACTTAGTGTCCCAATTCGCTGCGGAAATAAAACAAATAAAAAAGTTGTAAAAACCACGTTTTCTTAACGGACAAAAAAGAAAAACATTAACTCTTACATAACATTAAAGTTGTGTAGAATGTTATGTAATGTTATATAAGAGTTAATGTTTTTCTTCTTTGTCCGTTAATAAAACGTGGTTTTTAAAAGTTTTTTGATTTGTTTTATTTCATTGTTTTTAGTATTGCAACCACCAGAAAAACGTGATCTTTAAAAATGGCTTTTTATATTTATTTATTTTCTACTTTTTAGTTTAGCAATTTTAGCAATTCATATCATTTTCCAGGGTTGGCAAGTCTGGATGTTCGACAAAAAAAAACTCGATTCCCAACCTTGAATTTTCAGGGTTTTTTAATTTTTTTTTACTTATTACTTCTGATGATCAAATCTTGAATAGGCAGCATAAGCATGCATGCCAAATTTCAAGTTTCTAGAAACTTCAGAAGTGCTCTAAATTAAATTTGAATTTTTGATGACAGACAGAGAGACGGACACGAAACGAAGCTAAGAAAAACGCGGTAAAATACAAGTGAATAATATGACAAGTGCGTTTTTCTGCATCCATTATCGTGGGCACTCAAACTGAATAAATTTTTATATGCCACTTGTTGCAGTGTATATAAATAAATTGACTGAGATATTGATGACCCGATACCTGAGCGGTGCATGACCATTACCGCTTAAACTGAATAATTTGAAAGATGATTCTTGAATATGGCAGCTTGATCATTTCGACGGTATTTAAATAGTATTATTAGGATCATATATACAAATAGGGAACGTAATCCTTCTTGCTAATATATGTTTGTTCGGTTGCCGTTTGACCTTGAAATTCTAAATTTTGTGACCCTTTTGCACTCCTAGCGTAACGATAGTACACAAAATATTGAAAATATTTTTCTTCTCATAAATAATAATGTAAATTGATGTATGTGCAAGAAAATTAACTTGTTCTCTAGGCTAAAAAGTAAAAATATTTATTATCTTTAATAAAAATTCATATGCAACAAAATTTTTTTCTAGTGACACCTCTTCAATTCGGATGAACTAGGTTCTATTCCACAATTTTTAAAATAAAATTTCACCATCTTTGTACGGTATTTATGAATAAATTTTACGATACTGCCGCAAAGGAAAACATATACATGTAGAGTACTGAAATTTACATGCAAAGAAAACGCCTAGCTAGTTCATCATCTCTTCACTGAAAATTTTGGGAGACATGCTCCGTCATCACTTAAAAACTTTTTTATAACTGATGATGAAAATGGTCTCCGAAACTCTGGTTTCAATTTAAATTCTAGTTGAATTTGCTATTCAAGCAGACTTTTGATATAAGTACTTATTTCAACTCCTGTAACATGATTTTAAGTCGTTCGAGGTTTTGCTCAAACACAACGTGGATAGATTCACCGTAAGGTACATCTTGTGGATTTTAGATTTGCTCATATCACTCAATTACCGTCAAAAATTTCCCGCAATGACTTGACTGCGATCGGTTAACAATACGCAACTTTACTCATTAATGAGACAAAGGAGTGAGACCCACTTCATTAAATATCAAGAAGCTAACAATTAGACTATGGTTCATTGGATGTTTGCCACAACCAAATCGACCGCGTTGATCAATGCAGGACACTCAGTTTAAATTCTTGCACTCTGTATGCCGTCGATCTCTAATATCCTAATTCGTGCACTCTTTCTTGGTCTTGCCACGATGAGGTTGTGCGTCACTCTGGAATCTCACGTAAAATGTTACAGTAAATATAAACCCCCTGAAGATGTTTGCTAATAAATGTACCATGAAATTATAAATTGAGTCGCATTACTTGACGTCTCGAATAACGAGGTAGTAAGGATGTCGTTAAATTTACAACATAGGATTTAAAGTGAATAATAAATATTTCACTATTATTTATATGCCATAATGTAAATTTCACTGTTTTCTTCTATTGCAGTTTTTGAATTTTAAGTCTGAATTGAAAATTTCGCTTAAAAGGAAAATCGGTATGTGGACAAAATTTCTACATTTTATGCTCAGAATCTTCGGATACTTGCCATATAAGTGGAATACTCAAGATGTTAGCCCAAAAAAAAAGACAGGCAGCAGAAAACTTTTCCCTGGTCAAGTCGAAGAAATGGAACGTTTGGAGCGCCGCGTTAACTCTCTGCCTGTCGTCCGTCATGTTTCTTGACATCTACGAATCAATTTTCAGGTCAAGAGTGAATCATCTTACCTATTCAACTTTGAGGGTCTTTCACACGATTTACGATGTAACCATGGCACTTTCGGTGGCTCTTATCCAGGTTCTGTGCTTCATACAAAAAGATAAACTTGCTCACATTTTCCTCGAGAGCAATAATATATGCCGAGTGGTCAAAGGTTTTAGTGGAGAATTAGTTAACGAGAGGCCAAAGTCGAAACGCCTGTGGGTGACGCGGCTGATGGTAACGCTGGTGCTTCTTGCTGTAATAATTTCTCTGACTGCATACTGAGTTTTCGATGTCGTGGTTTTTGACGGACTCACTCTAGCGCTACTAAGCGCACGTTTTACAGCGATGGGCCTTCAGTTCTGCTTACTTGGTGTTACTTTTGAGTTTTTCTTGGGCCAAATAGAAAATTGTATTGATGCCGTCTTTAACAATATTATTGGTCCTGGCCTTGGATGGTGTAATTGTTTAACAGGTGATAATGGCGGGAGTAAAGTTTGGATCTTGTTAGTTTAAAACCGGAAAAAAATTGGCCTGGTGTGGAGCACACGCAACTCCCTCAACGTCTTGAGATGCAACCTGTAAACTGGATGGGACATGGAAAAAACTTTCAACGTGTTCAAGATGACATCGTGAGGATATATTCTCTTCTCAAACTCCTCATGAGTTACATGGACAAGATCATACTTGTCAAAATAATGTTATTGATATTTTTAGCTATAGTCGATATTTGCTACATGATGCTATATCAAAATTTAACCACAAGTCAAAAACTGCTTCTGATGTCCCATACATTGATTACTGTGATGCCATTGCTCTTCTTTCTGAATCTGCCCACTTCTTACACTGAAAAGGTGGGTCTGATGATGGTTGGTATTTTTGTAATTGTGAATATTTTTCAGAAATATATTTGCTCTGTACGCAACCATTAATTGTCATCCAAGAAGGATAAATAGGATTAGTTCATCAGTTCATGCTACTCCGTCAATCTACACTATAGGTTCATCCCTTGTTATAAACGAATCAGCATATTGGTTAAGTTTCATTGCCCTGCAGTACTCCTTATAAATGAAGAATTCCAATTCTAAGCGTTAAAAAGACATAAGTTTCTCACCTCGACACCTGCATTTACGAAATTGAATCTGTTCTTAGCACTTTAAAGAGTTAGCACCTTAATTTAATAATGTTAGCTCAAACTTTTGCCTCTATACTGTTGAATTTTGACCGATAAACATATCGGTCAGAAAATCTGATATCATTCATATATTTATCTGATCTGATCTGAATGAATATCTGATATTATTTTACAGGTAGTTGCTCTGAAGTGGAAGCTAATGAAATTGACGATATTACCCACTCATCGGATTTCGATCGAACAAGTAATTTAGATTATTTTTGATACACTTTGCATTCTTCAAAGCAAATTAAAATATGAGAATTGAATGTGCCATGAACGAAAATAATTAATGAAACTATAGCAAAATCATGACATGGAAAAAATGATATACTCATATTAAAGGAAAACGTACAGTTGCACACAGAAATATATATGACAAATCACAATTGTAATCTTGTTGTTGAAATTTAAACAGCTGAAGGGGCTCCAACACCTACTGGATCAGAGCCCCAGTTTTGACATGTGTCACGTCTTCACGCTTGAACGTTCCAAGATCGTCCACGTAAGTAACTAAAACATACTCTGAACTAGCATGAATAATATATTAATGTCTGCAAATAATATAATAAGAAGTTAATGTTTACCCGAAGAGTTCTAACAAATGATTTGAGGAGAGCGTCTCTCCGAACTCCGGTCGTCTCCTGAACTATATTACCGATCTTTCTGGAAGTTCGCATGCATATGTACATCACTCAAAGAAAAATATTTTGCTCAGATACATTTTTTGAATATACGAAAGAAAGCGTGAAATGCATAGAAAACGGCAAAAAGGGGGTCTAGGGGGGTATAAATCTATAAATCTTATACTATAAAGGGGGGTATAAAAGGGGGGGTATAAATCTATCTCCTCCTTCAATTTATGTTGTACAACATCGAGAGAGATATCATTTGATTCGTAAAGAGAATATCTATCGACTCTTTTGATATTTCGAAGCCATTTTGATATTTTATTTTATTTTTTTATATGACTTATTAAAAAAAATATAAAATTCGATATATACGAATTATTTCAATTTATAATCCAAACCATGTACAAATCAGAAGAAAAGGCTTATAGAATCGGTATATATGGTATTTAAAATTTGAATGATGTCTCTCAATGCTGTAGCTTGAAATTCATATCAGGAAATAAATTTCAATATACATATTTTTGAAAATGTTGCTTGTTCAAGGGAGCCAAATAATTAAAATTTATTGAAAAAAGAAGAAAATGCTGAAAAAAATTTGCTTGATATTGTAACTCCAGCTTTTCCATTGCTAATTACTCGATTTGAGGGTCCCATCACGCGTTATTAGGCTTATTCTTGTCCAGTTTGCCGTGCATAAAAAGCTATATAGGTGATTTTTCATATATATATTTTCATATATCGATCTATTGAAAAAACAAATAAGAAAATTGTCAATAAAACGAATTCTCTGGTCTTCAATGAAACCTGCTTAAAGGAACAAATTTTGCCAACATATACTAAAAATTTTCATATATATATATATATATTCATATAAATTGTCATTTTATAGAAGTTCAAAACAGCCTTACGCAAACGTATTGCACGTACTTCGCTGCAGGCGTCTTGTTTGCAGCCTTAAAATGAGTGAAAACATATTGTAATTAACGCGAATAATGATCTATAAATACGGACTTTAAAGAATTTTTTTTCATCATTGGTCTCCACGTCATAGAATGAATATTCCGTACTACCAAATTCAATTCAAGCAGTATCTATGGAAAGCTTCTTCCGAATCACGTAATGTTTCTTTCGTTTATTCAACAGATCTTCTCTTTTGTGGCAACGTACGTTGTGATCTTCATGCAGTTCCTTAGTGCTGAGAAAAACTGAAGATGGGAGATGTACGTTAACTGATCCATGGAGCCGAGGGAACATTCAAGAACCAATTAAAGTTTCGCTTTGAAGGGATCCTCGTTCGTACTCATTTATGCCGTTTTTCCAACTAAAAAACGAAAAAGGCTTTTCTTTGAAAAAAAAGGGGAAATGCATTTCTTTTAAAAGGAAGAAAGGTTTAAATGAGCATCAATGAAGTTGCCTTCAAAATAAAATAAATCATACCTTTTCCTATAACCTTTTTCCTTTTAAAAGAAAAAAGGTTTAAATGAGTACCAATGAGGTGACCTTCAGAGCAAATGTGCACAGCAGAGCATTACATTTCCTTCGATGTCATAGATATATTCGAGTAAAGTATGAAAAAAAAGAACCTGTTTGCGAGGCTGCATGTATTATGCATCACTTTTTTTCAATTTTATTGCCTAAATGTTGAAATCATCATAAAAACGTAATTGGAATACATGTACCAAGATTCAGAGCTCAATCTTATCATCTTCATGGTCAAAGGATCGCTCTACAAATGACTAACCTAAAATTTATACTCACGTAATTGTCATTTATTTCTAGTGTACCCAAGAATGGTACCATTTTGGAACTAATGTTGAAGGTTGCCGAGTTAGTATATGTATTCGATAATTATTCGGCGTGAAAAGTCAAGTGAAATGTCTTTTGAAATATTAAATTTTGTGCCAGAATCTCCCGAGTATAGAGAATAATCAAATTTAACCTTATTCGATTGGTGCTTCGGTCACAATTGAGACGATGATTATTTCGTTCGTCGTTGTTGGAAACGACACTATTAAAATTCCTACTCGGTAGTGAAAGTCAAAATCCCAGGAATAGAATAGTTTACTCAAAGTTCATATCAAAATATTCATGTATTATTAATCATTTCAAAATATGTCTCAAAATACTAAAAGTTAAAGTCCACATTCAAGGACATTTCGTATTTTAAGCACTATTTCCGGCACCAATGTAGGTAACGTATTTGTATGTCCCTTAGATCAGTCTTCATCATCATGAGTCAAATCAGAAAATAATGCATGAGAAATTAGACAATAAAATGATTGAAAATTTTAGGCTAGTCTATGTATTTATATTTTTATCCACATTGACTATGCGAATGACAATTTTTCGAATAACTGTTTACAGTTATGAAAAACTGTCTACCTATTCAAAACGAAATGCCTGTTTTAAGAAGATTGAACGTACCAGCACGAAAGCCCACTATAATCCACTAGTTTGTACACATTACGTGTCCTGGCTATGTATATTCAGTGGTTCTAAGAATTTATGGGTGCGAAGGGACTTTTCTTATGAAAATGACATTTCTCAGCACCATATCACACCATGCCATGCTTCACGTGAAATGTGCACGTTTTTTGAAGAAAGTTGACCGGATGTTCTAGACTGGCCCAAAAATTCTCCTAACATCAATCCCATCGAAAACCTAAGGGCTATAATGGAAGGATGAGTCAGAAAGAAGACTTAGACAAAGACAAAGCTAATCAATGCGGTAATTAGGACCTGGTATAATGATGAAAAAGTGACTAAAATGTGCTCAAATCTATGCTTGTAAATCATATTGGGATACCTGTAAAAGCAGAGAGAGGTGATATTTTTTATTAATCATATTATCTTTTGTACAATTGACATGCTTTTTAGGCTTCAGTTTGGTATATATTTAGAAATTTAGCAGTTAATTTAATTAATAAAGCGAATTTATAACAGATAGATTCGAGATTATGCAGAATTGATTGATAATTCTCGATTTGAAATGTTCTCACTTACTTTTTGGGCATTTAATTGTTGAAAATCGAAGTAGAAATTGAAATGTGCTTCACATATGAGGCTTCGTTGGGATGAGCTCTCGAAAGCATGTTGGCATGTTTACAGCACCACTTCATTGAAGTGTACATTTTAGTCCTTTATTAATAGTTATCGGGCTAACCGTGGCTATCGTGAGCTAATCATGGTTTTGGATTAAATATTACAGAGAAATGTTAAATTTGGGACCGGTGGGCTTGAACAGACAGGAACGGAGACTGATTTTTACATGTAATTTCTGATTGTAGCGACTTTGTTATTTTCCTCAGATCTTTTCTCGTGAAGTTTTAAAGTAGCTTTTAGAATTCAATGTATAGAACCTTATAGCCATTTTTCGACAAGGTCAATATTAAAATTTCCGCGCTATTCATGTTCAATGTCACTCTTCATGAGCAGTCCGATCGGTCACAGCTTCTGATGAGAATCGACAATTCTGCATGTTCACACTGTAGAAATATTTAATTCTTTACCTACATTTCGTGGACAAGTTTTTGCTTAATAAACAGAACATAATTTTGTTTTTTTTTTCTAAAAAGTAATGTTATATTATATTTTCTCATTATAGGTAATTTCTTGCAAAACATTGAAGTGAGTTATTGCGCATTTTAGATGAAAAAATTGTCCGCTTCCGTACGTGTTCAGTGACCGAATGTAAACCAAAGGACAAACATTCATAAATTTTTTATGCGTATTTGCAGATGTAAATTGCAGAGTGTGTCGAATAGGACTCTCCCCAATACATTCTGCATATAATGAACATAGGTCTTTTCACTGCAGCTTACATATATATAATGCGGTGCAAAATTTCCTTTTCAATGTGGTTCATCATGTGAATTGCTACTATAGTTAGCACCCCAGGGAACAAAAAAATTGATTTAAAACCAATATGACATGTTTTCTGTTGTTCATTTTCTATAATCTTCTTGTACGTTGTGTTTGCATATAGTTGTGTTTGTTCTTCATTTATCCCTTCATCTTCATTATTTTCCCATTTATACCTCGTACATACTCAATTAAATTTCACAAAGTAGTCGACTTTATGCCGTGTTACATATGTTGCTGCTCTGCCCATCAGTCTTCATTAACGCCGCTACAGTAGTGCCAAAGTCTTATAAGTTTATTCTGCAGCGTATACGCTGCGCCGATGTCGGCACGAACCTTCGAGTCTGTTGGTCTGCAAAAATTACGAGCGCTGCAATCTGTCGGTGAACTTGGTCGCAGAACTTGTTTAGGTCCTGGGCTTCATCTCGGCATGATGGATTACTCAGTTTAATGACTTGGTAAAACTTTAATGAGTTATGAAGAGAGGCTAGCCACGATTTATTGTGCCCCACAAAGAGTCTACTCGGTGCATGTCCCAGAAAAATTCGAAGTGTTACTCGGTGCAATGTCCCAGAAAAATTCGAAGTGTTGTATCAGTATTCGACGTTCATGCTCTGGCAATTTCCACTCAATTTCCGTTCATGCTCTGGCAATTTTTTACTTCGAAGTTACTCGGTGCATGTCCCAGAAAAATTCGAAGTGTTGTATCAGTATTCGACGTTCATGCTCTGGCAATTTCCACGAGCATAATATCGTTACACGAGATCTCGCCCAAACACATTGGATCTTAGCGATGTTCCGTGATTTTGAATGAGGTCTGATCGTCGTTCGGTTGGGTCTGATAGTTGTTAAAATAATTATGAATAATTTTGCCTCAGAGTTTACAATTGAATTTACAATTCGTAACCCAATTGAATAATTTACTGGAAAATTCTTCAATTGACGCAGTTCATACGACTTAGATAGAATTTTTTGACTAATTCTCTGGTAATTGATTCAGTTTCCAATCAAGGAGGCTTGACCATCAGGAACAAAGTTCCTCAGAAGCTATAAAGTCTATATAACTTCCTCCTACGAACAAGGCAGGACAGGTCAGGTCCACCTACAGGCCTATTATAACATAAGGAGAAGGCACTATTGAGGCATCTACAGAACTCAACATTTAATTAATAAGAGTATCATAAGCCTTCATAATAGGCACATGCAAAAAACTGGTGGACTGAGTGTATAATTGGGATATCATCTATTAGTCACACGTATTTGCCTAACAGGCGAAGAGTGTCAGGTAAAAAGCATTCAATGCAGCTACAAACCGTAAAGTAGCTAGTAGTGTCGTATGATTGGAAAATAGTTATAGGGAGAATGGAGGCTCAAATCTTAAACTGTTCATAGTTAATTAGTTAATAATAAAGATTAATCAGTAAAAATAAAAAATTGATCAAAACTAATTAATTAATTAAAAAGATTAGAATACGAGAAAAATAAATAATAATAAACGCCATCAGCCTTAATTACAGTGGATAACCGAAACGTAAACTACGATGTGCATCAGATAAATCGTACCTATCCTGCACCTAATGAATAATTATAAAATAAAGAATGATTGAAATTCCTCAGCCTAATAAAATGACAGTAGAAAATGAACTTGGAGAAGAGTTTATTCTCGGCAGATACGTAGTCGAGGTTTGCAGCTCGCAATGCAACTTCATTCATTTTTTTATCCTAAGTTTATTGGAGTCCCAGAAGCTAGTCCATGTCGTCCCTCAAACACGACACATTAAAACGTGGTGGTAGGAGCTGTGGAAATTCCGCGCTGGAACTTCGTGCGATGCAGCCAGATGATAAAGGGTTTGATGAACCTCATCTTCAATAATCATACCCATTCCTACATTTCGTACCTCAATATCTCAATGACAAACGTTTGTATATATGTGTCTCAGCGAATACCGCGAGCAAATCGAGATCTATCATAGATTAGCACAAAATAATTAAAAGCAATTGTAAGTCAGTAGCACGACAATAGCAGTGAAATATATATCGTTGACGTGTTTCTCTCATAAACAAGTGAAGTTTATATCGCGTATTGTCAGTATAAAATAAATTTGTATAATATAGTTTCGTCCAATTAATAGATCTCCTAGTGAAGAAGTTTCAAATAAAAAAATCAATAAAAGTGCCAAATAATTAGCATCTTGGTGCCGAGGATGCACCGTCATTCTTCGTGAACATAGCCAGGCTCTTGACAGGGAATGAATTCAGAAGGATCGCCTGCCAGGAAGAAGAGCTTCCAAAGGCCACTGCGGAAAAATTCCGCCGCCATTGACGACCGGCATTTGTCAAAGATCGCTGCTGACTCCGGCGAAGAAACATTCCAGAAAGTCAGTATTTACGATCTCTCTTGGACTTGAATTTCAGAGGAAGGCATGAGATTCAAAAGCTAACGAGACAAAAGATAGAACTCACACGAGAGATGATTTTTTGCGGGATTTTTCAACCAATGCAGAGACTAAAGGTGACGCATTGCATTTTAAAATTCGTATTTATCCAGTCGAGAAATACTGCACCACGTTGGTAAGGTTTTCTTTCGTTATTAAGATTCTCTTTTCTCTAAAGATGATTAAATATGTAAATAATACATAGAATATTTTCAAAAACAATTTCTTAATCCTACAGAGTCATCAACATTGTTATCAAGGATTGAGTGAAATATTTTCATGCATGAATTAAAATTCCAACCATTTGAATACATATTTATAAAGACTTTAAAATAAAATTTGAATTTAAATCGTATTAAATAAAAACAATCCTATTGATTAATCTTGGACTATTTTACTTAGGCTGCCCAATGATATTCTCGTGTACACGATGTGTCCACAAAATATTTTCGCTCGTTAAACTTTCGGATAAAAATTTTTAATGTTGATTTATCGTCTCTCTTTTATCTTGTATTTCATTTTTAATATTTTTAACTGTCGCCACGGAGAGTATGAATAGGAGATAAATAACAGGAATATATTTTTCTAATTTACTGCATGCCTAGCGTTCAGCGCCAACACATTTTTCCTTGTTGTTCAGCTGAAAAAATCTGGAAAAGTGTTCGTCCCAAATATTTGTTCGGTTCTTGTCTACCAGCACCAAAAAATCATTTAATTTTTATAGATGAATTTCAGAAGCTATATATTATTAACAGTGAAATTTCTACTAACCTCAAGTCACCTTGACCTCAATACTTTCGCGTCGACTGTTATGATATTCGGCAGATATCTTCTGTGCTTTATGATGCGTAATGATTGCAGGCGCATCATCTCTGCAGGGTACCTAAAGCAACATCTTGCTGTGGTTAAATTCCAAGTTTCCAA